TGCATAAAGTATATGTATGCTCTTTATGAATAAAGCTCTTTTAACATTTAAACTATTTATTCTACTGACTCTTGTATAATTTTATTCGATTTAACATGGAAAAACTACATGTGAAATAATGTCTCACTTGTTGAGATAGCAATTGTTAAATAGATACAAGCAAGTATAAAAGAGTCTTTGATTTCATAACATGTTGCAGTATAGGCTGTTTGATTACTATGGTCACCAAACAGATCACCTTTTATTTACCAAAGATGTCTATCTGACTGCAAGCAAGTGACTCTCACTTGGTCGCTTTCATCATTCGTATTCTAGGTGTTCTTTTTATATAAAGCTACACGGGAGTAAAATTAACAGCTGGGCATGAATAAAGGCTCTTTCCTTAAAGATGGATGGGTTTTCAATGTGGGTGGTGTAACACATAAGGCATCCTATTCAAAATTATAGAAAAAAATTTCTTTCTAGAAATAATGAAGATTAAAAAAAAGTAGCTTGGGGAAGAAAAGTGAACTATTTCACTGGATCTATCAACGTATTTCTTTTTATCTGCAGAAAAGATTGTTTATATGCTTCGATTTTTAATCTAAAAACTTTTTCTAAAAAAATAAAAAAAAAAATTTCTATTAAAAGAAAAAAATGTAAGTTTTTTGACTATTCTAAGAAAAATTTTGGTGCACGATTGAAATATTTATTTTCAGAGCGACGCATAAAGGAATGATAATTATCGTTATTTTCCTTTAGAATGAGCAGAAACCTTTGAAAACCGGCGTACAATTGAAAAAGGATCATAAAATGTCTACTTAGAAGCAATAAAGGTAAAAAAAGTTACAAGGGAAAGAAAAATTAACTATTTCACGGAAACATATTTTCTTTTATCTATAACAAAGATTGTTTATTTGCTTCAATTTTTTATTTAAAAGCTTTTTTCTAAAAAAATGTAATTTTTTTTTCTATTAAAAGAAAAAAAAAATTAAAATTTTTGACTATTCTAAGAAAAATTTTGATGCATAATTGAAATATTTATTTTCAGAGCGACGCATAAACAAATGATAATTATCGTTATTTTCCTATATAATGAGCAGGAACCTTAGAAAACCGTCGCACAAATGAAAAAGGAGCATAAAATGTCTACTTAGAAACAATAAAGGTAAAAAAAGTTACAAGGGGAAGAAAAATTAACTATTTCACGAAAACCAGCAACATATTTCTTTTTATCTGTAACACAGATTGTTTATTTGCTTCAATTCTTAATCTAAAAACTTTTTCTGAAAAATCTAATTTTTTTTCTATATAAAGAGAAAAAGTTAAAATATTTTTTACTATTCCAAGAAAAATTTTGATGCATAATTGAAATATTTGTTTTCAAAGCGACGCATAAACGAATGATAATTATCATTATATTCCTACATAACGAGAACCTTTGAAAACAGTCATACAAATGAATACCTTACACACCTTTGAAAACGGTCGTACAAATGAAAAAGGCTCATAAAGAAAGGTGGTGCATCAGTGAGAGGTCAATAAAAACTATTAAAAGAGAGATATTCTACTCTTCGTCTTCACTTTACTTCATATGTCTTCACTTCGTCTTCACATGATGCCAGTTACACTATTTTTTCCTCTTACGATATCTTGATTTTCATTGTTTAGCAATTACTTTTTCATTTAAATTTCTCACGTTAAAAATAATATTTTGGTTAAATATTTATTATTCACAACTATTGTGGCTAAACTATTATTATCTTGACAAAATCGTGACATCCTTCGCTCATTTTGAGGGTCTAACATTTGAAATTGTCGATATCGAAAAACGGGTATATTCAGCGAAAGTGCGCTTTGTATCTGATTCCGTAAATTAACAATAATTATTGCAAATTAATAAGCATATCTGAGGCCAGCCTTCTGAACCATTGTGATTTACCTTGTGCTTTCTTACAATATTGAACTCATCCCTCTATCAATAATTAATACTATTTTTTTATATCCAAAGATTAGCGTCTAACAGGGCAACAATAAAATATTCGCCAAAAAACTGCAATTGGCATGATTAACCAAACATTATGCTGACGCCATACAATTGCAACTGTTCACACTTAATAACTTAACTCCCCACTTTATGATAAGAAAACGAAATATTCTACGAGAATAAATAAGGTGGAGAAAAAAAAATGGTAAATGCTTTTTTCGACGGAGACTAATTATCGTTAAAAGAAACGGCTACCATATCCCCAAGTTTAATGATGATTCTTCGTTCGAAATCAAATGCCAAAGGCGTGGTTGTTGATGTAGTTCCATCATTAATTATAACTCTTTATTTTGAATAAGTAACTTTTATTTAATGATACTTTAGAATGTTCTCTAAAATGGCATTTTTCGGAGATGAAAAATACTCCTCGAAGCCGAGTTCAGCTTGTTAAAAAGGAAAAGCTTTAAACGCATGTTTATTGTTGGCGGTTATTTTTTTGGAACCGTATTTAATGCTGATGTTTTAGAACATATGCATTCTCGTGAAAATTATAAAGGTGATTCAAAAGTAAAAAAATCTAATGATGCCTTTGTAATTTTATCTCAAAATAAGGAAAATACTTTAACGCAATAAATTGTTATAATTATATGCAAAAAAAATTCTTTTGCTTTTCGAAAGAAATCTTGCTGGTTGATTTTAACAAAAGAGCATTAGAAAATGGCGTGGCGTTATTTTTCAACCTTTCAACTTGAAGAAGTTAAGAGTTTTTTCTAAATTGTTTTTACGAAATATTTTTGATGTTGGAGAAAGTTTTAAAGGTTCTATAATGATTTTAATTGTAGGTTGTTGAATATACCGCATTTTAGTTAGCATTTTTTTAATACTTACCTACTTGTTAAGCAAAGTTTCACAACAGCAGCCTTTCTTCACGCAAAAGAAATTTTTTCCGTTCCTTTAGAGTTAATGAAACTTTTAAAAAGTCTGTTCCTTTTTTTTTTTTTTTTTGGTAATGATAGGAAACAAGAAAAATCAAATTATATGTCTTACAAAGTTTTTAATGCGAGTTTAAAATACTTATTGTTGTTAAACACTTTTTCTTTCTTCCTTTTTTCTTAAAAAAATTTAAAGAATTATTGTAGCAAGTAGAATAAAAAGTATCAAAAACACGAAATTTTACTTATTCTTTATTACTTCTTTTATTACCCTAAGAAAATTTCGAGCTTTCAAAGAAAAGAATAAAAAAGATTTTCGAAACATTTACTTTAGAGATATAACGCAAAAGATAATTAAAATTTCTTTTTCAAATTATTTATTTTTACGCCTACAGCATTCAAAATTTTAAATAAAAAACTTGCCTCATAGATTTAAAAAATTTATTCTAGTTTAAAACACTAGTTCAACAATTAAAATCATACAGATTTTTTCCAAAATTGCAGTTTCTTCCTGTGTTTTTTACATTTAAAATGTAATTCCGTTACATTTTTTAAAAATTAATATCCATATATATTCACCAAAATATCCAAATAATTTTTATCAACTTCCACACAAATTAAAATAATCATTGGCACATTTTGGTTAAATTCAAATTAATTCCTGTTAAACCTGGTTCTTCTTACATTTTTATTATCTGATAAGAAATAATTTATTAAACTTGCGTAAATTTTCATTTATGACTCCTATTGTGCATATTTTTTTTTCACTTCGGATAAAAATTTAAGGTGCGCAGCCAAATCTTTCAACAAAAAATAAGCACCTTTTAAGTACTTTTCAAGAACTCAAAAAATATTTTTAAGCACTATATACTTTAACAAAATGCAAAATAATTTTCCGACTACATGATCCTGATAAAATAACTAGTTTCTGACAAAGAACTTTTTTCTCGACTATATTAGCCATTATAAAGTGATCAGGAGATTTTTCAGTTCAATATTAGAGGGGGGGGGGGGAATGAAGCATGAATTTAAGAATATCTTGCAAAATGCAGCAGAGACTGCAATAATCTTACCAAACTCAGCTCAATAGACGCACATGCGGACTCGCAGGTATTTCATCAAACATGTAAAATGATTGGCTCATTCATATGCTATGGACCAAATAGATTGTAATATGTACGCCAAATAGATTGTGGTTAAATGAATTGTGAAAATGTTGAAGAATGTGAAAAGCACGCTTTGGCGTAATAAGTGGCGAAAATCAGCATGGTAAAGTAAAAAAATCCAATTTTCGAAAAGGGAAAATTAAGGACTTTTTAAAAACACCCAATGGAAAAAGCACCTTTAAGGGCTTTTAAAACCGAAAATCAAAAATAAGCACTCTTTAGAAACGCTACACACCATGTTATTAATTAACAAAAATGATAATTCCTAAAATAGTTTTAATATTTTTGAATTATTTTATCAATTAATCAGAATTTCATATAAGCCAGGGTGCGTAGCCAAATTATTCAACAAAAAATAAGCATCTTTTAAGCACTTTAAAAAAAATATCATAATTAGGCAGATTTGGAAATTTTTTGACAATTTATGGTTTTATCTTGTTTTAACCGTCACATAAAACAAAACAAAAAAAATTTTGAACATTGTTTTTGACAATTCTGTCAAAAATTATGAAATTTTGAATTATGTAAAATGGATGGCATTTTCATATGCTAGGGACTGACAAAAAGTCGAAATAGATTGGGGTTGAATTTATTGTGAAAACATTGTGAATAGAGCAATGTGAACTGTGTCTTTTTGCATAATTGGAAATGAAAATCAACATAGTAAAGGAAAAAATTCATTTTGGAATAAAAGGAAAATTAAGAACTTTTTAAAAACACCCAATGAAAAAAGCACCTTTAAGGGCTTTTAAAAACCGAAAATAAGCATCTTTAAGCACTTTTTAAAAACGCTACGTACCCTGTAAGCAGAGTTAAGTTTTGACTTTTAAAATACATTACTTTAATAAACTTAATATACTTAAAATACATTACTTGATTGCATTACTTTCTGTCAGTGACAGTGCAATTCATGCAAATAAATTACTGATAATCAAATATGACAGCACACATTTTACTGTTTAATAAAAATATATTAATTTAAACTAAAACAAATTTTTTTTTCATGAATAAGACAACAACAGGAACTAAAAACAAACTCTCAAGACTAGTAAATACAATTTTTTTGTTTATTTTGATAACATTAACAATCATAATACAATATATACAGAAATAAACTTATAATACAAATAAAATAAACTCTATCATAATTAAAAACGCTTTAATTCTCACTTAACACTTAAATTTTAAATGTTTAGTTTAAATTAAATGAGTTATTAAAACTTGAACTCAGAAACACAAATTTTAACTTGAACAGCTTGAAAAAGAATTGGTACTTACATTTTATTTTTTTTTTTACATAACAGACCAACATAGAATTATTAGAACATTCAGAATATGTCCCTGAAAAGGTTTATAAATTCAAGACTTTATATGAATGTAAATATGCTAGATGTTCTTTAAAATTTTTTTCTTAAACAAAAGCTGTCATTAAATAACTTTAAATTTTTTTTTAACTGTACAAGTTTATTTATCCAGCTCTAAAATTTCTATATACAATTCCAAAGACAGCGTTTTACTTCATCACAGATAAGTAATTTTAATAAAAAAAACAACTTATAAAAGATATGCATATAAAAATAAATGAAACAAAAAAACTAAATCTTTGCCAATACAAATAAGGTTATAAATGGTAAACCATTTCTCTTGCTAGAAATAAGTGATTCACTAAAGGAAGTTATGCAGTATATGTAGTTTTAACAAACTAGTCAAAAAGTAAAAATAGTTGATAAATAAAAATGTTCAATATTGAAATACTTTTGATGAAGTATAAAAGTAATTTATACAACAACTGAATGTACAGCAACATATTATATATTCTTTAATAAAAATATCACTAAAAAAAATTGCATACCCCTCCAAAAAGACTATAACTTGCGATTATTCAATTCCTTTCAATATTGTACATTTTTAAGCCAAATTTCTCATTTTAAATAAAAATTACACAATGGGGATATACTTATTAATACTCTAATTTGCAAGTAATTTTGATTGATACATTTGTTTACTATCTACTTTTAAATTTGTTAAAAGAATAGCCAAGGATTAAGTTTCTTTTTAATAACCTTCAATGATAAAATTTGTAAATAAAGAGAAAGCAATAAAATGCCTGAACTTCAATAACAAAAAAAATAAATAATAATAAAATGAAATATCCACAATTTTTAGAAATTGTCATTTTATTTGATATTTAGTTTATCTCAATAACTATGTGTACTGGAAATTAACTCAATATCATTTGAATCAATATCAACTGAAAACTTTACACAATCAACTGATAATATATTAACTCGGAGGGCATAAAGTACAAAGGTCAACATAAATTACAGTTAGAAATTATTTCAATTAAAAAACACTTATTGATTTATTAGCTGTAAATTGCAAAGGACTACACTCAATTATATATAAAATCAGTCCTTAAAGGAGCTAAACATTCCAAAAACTGCAGACTCAGGATTATCACAACTTACTCTAAAATATTAACAAATCATTCATAAAATTTAGAAATAATTAATTACAATTATTGTATATGTAAAAGATACTGAAAACAATTTTAAATGCAATGGCATTTTCTTTTAAGGGCTATACCAAGTACGGATTGCAATGTGTTGTTTTAACTTACTGAAGGGTGAAAATTCAGTGTTAGGGAGCTGTTAATTAGACCCTTGTTAAAGGTTGCATGGTCTCTCTCTTAACCATCAGATTGAAGGGCAAGAAATTAGTGCCGAAGAGGTTTTTAAAGGAGTTGGTTGTTGTATTGAAATATATGCATAATATACATGAATGCACCTTCGACATTTGAAGAAAATTTGTCACTATGGTGGAAAATTTATGAAAATAACTAAAAGCAGCCAAAATTACTATATTCTACCCAACAAACAATTTTAGGGCTGGGATATCCTGGTTGGTAGGACACTGGGCCTATGTCTATGAGGTTGTGGGTTTGATCCTTGCTGGCCGAAGACTCCCCATGTAGTAAATGGTGACTGATGCACATTAAATCTGTCGAGTCTCAATGTCCTCCATGTTCCCATAACAAATCAATACCTCTGAGGGTACTGATCCAGGAGTTTCCTTCTTTTCTGGATTGGTTCAATTACAAGGCTAGGGAGTTGAACATTAGTAGTCGTAAACCCAAAATTGGGTCGGCTGTTCAACGACAGTTATAAAATAAAATAAAACAAAAAAAATTAGATAGAATGACAGAAACTTCGTTAAGTTAATAACTGGTTTTATACTTCCAAAAAATTTTTAAATTGAAAGAAATATATGCTGATATATAAAAAAATCAGTAAAGATTTTTAGAAAAATTAAAACACATATAAAAAAAACAGTGATTTTCGAACAAATTTTGTCAAAATTAGGTGGCAAAAGGGTTGAAACTAATCAATACAAGAGTCAATTAATTGCTTGCCAAAAGGTTTTGTTTATAATTGAGATTTTGTGCTTACAGAAAGTTTTTCCTTTTATGAAAGTCTGGCGATAGACATGGTCTATCATGCAAGTTATTTAATTTACTCTGTAATTTGATAAAATTTCTATATGTATGTAGTTAAAAATAACTATGAAAAATTTCATTCCAAAACCTTTTCCCCGTGATGTTTTTTTTTCTCTCTCTCTCACCATTTTCTCCTTATTTCATTTTTTTAAATTCAAACACTTTATTTATAATGATTATTTCTTGCAAAATATGTACACAAAGCATGTAAATATTATCCAAAATTTAATAGTTGACAGTGAAATATTAATAATAAAAAATAGGGAACTACTAATAAAATTTCTAAGCTTAAATTGGAAATAATTAAAAAAACACTTACAGATAATGAGATAATTTAAAAATCAGTTGGACCATTTCACACCAATGTTAATTTTTTTTCTATTTTGATTTTTATAAAAATACCTATCAGATGTAGAGTTTTCCTCATATCTTCCAGTGAAAATTTATTTCAAACTACAGATTTTAATGGTCAAGTAACCATTATAGCATCAGTAGTAAAATTAACTGAAACATGTCATAAAAATGTACTTGTTTTTACAGATGTTAGTACACAATTATCTTTTCTTTTACTTAAACTGCAGCCACAGTTAAAGTTTGCAAAAATATTTCTGAAAAATGCAGTGAAATATAAAAGTATCTAAAAACAAGTTAATTTCTGTTTGTTAATTACAACAGCATCTTTTGAATTACAATTACACAAGAAATTAATTTTATTAATTAAAAGTACATTTGCATCGTTTCTAAGGTCACATTCCAAATGTAACTATGCTTGAATTAATGCTTCTCTTTGTTTTTTAACAAAACAATACAGTAATATAATTTTTTTATTATCTTGAGCTCTTAGTCTGTTACAATAGAACTACTAAATTACGTTCTTTTCAGGAACAAAAGTGAGAAGAATAAACTAATAAAAAATATGTAAATTAATAAACTCAATATAGTAAACAATTTTCAATACTATAGGCAATACACACAACACAAAGCTCGTGAAAAATAACATTGATATATGACTTGAGAGACACAAATAGGAGATTAATTAAATTGACAAAGATTTTAAGCATGTGAGACAATTTTTTCAGGTGTTGCTACCCAGATCAATCGTCATCTTCAGGCAAGTTTAATGTCAACTCAGTCAGAGCTTTTTGTACTTCAGCATTAATTTCAGATGAGTTTGGAATATCTGGGGTTACCCATGATTCATCTGTATTTTCCACAGTTTCCCGACAAACTGGGCATGTTTTATTAGATACATTCCTAATAAAAGCAAAATATATTAGAAGGAACTAATGTTGAACATACAAAATTTCTGTATTACTTCATAACAGTGCTATTTAAAGTGTGTTTATAGTGTAATTTTTGGGTAGGCTATAAATGCAGCCTGACTTCCATTTAACAAAGTCGCTACATCCTGATAAAAAGTTCGTAATATGAAACATTCTTTATATAGAAAATTATCATTTGAAATACTTAAATAACACAATAATAACTGGTTTTAAATTCATAAACACTAGACATAATTAAAATAACAATTGATTCACCTTTATCTTCATCTTAATCGTTTCAAATGATTTTAACATTTTATCATATGAAGGTTTGGTGATTTCTTCATAATACGAAAACCTCAGAATGCCCCGGTACCCAGGGAATATTATCACCTCTGCTTAATTTAGATGGCCTTAATATGCCGATTAATTAACACAGACAATAAAATCGGAGACAAATGTGTTCCTTAGCTTATGGAGAAGTGTAAATTACACAAAACATTTAAGCTCGTTAATTAGGAAAATAGTTGAAGATTCGACCACTTAATGTTAATTTTACTTTTTATGTATTTTTTCATCATAAATAAGTTTAATATTTCTCAAGAAATATTCAACTTATTTCTTTCAAATTTTGGATTTATCATTGAAATTTACATTAGAAATAATTATCTTTAAACATTAGTGAATTAAATATTAAAAAGCTATAAATAAAGATAATAAACAATTTTCTACATGGAATTGTCTTTGGAAGAACAAGTATTATAATTGAAAGCAAAATTTTTTAATTTACTTCATCAATTCCACAAATAGAGCAAAGTAGGAATCATTCTGCTGCAAAATTAATGGATCATATTTTACCACTTTCACGAACCACTACCCTCATACTTTGAGGATTAGGAATTCAAATCTGCCAAAAAAAATTTTTATCCAAAGAAAGTACAATTTTGTGCCAGATTTAAGACATTGTCTGCACTAAATAAACCCAACAAGAATCTTGGGCCGGCCCTTGACATTTTGGCGCTCCAGGCAAAACCTTAATTTTGCAAGCCAGAGCACAAGGTCAAGAAAACTGGAATGGGCACAGTAACTCATGGCTCTTGATTTTAGCAATGTACATAAAATATATTAAAACACTTTCTATAATTATTTTTTTAAAAAAATAACTTTTTATTATTACAAGAATAAACAAAACATATTACGTGAAAATATTTAGTCACATAGCAGTAAAGAAATATAATGGACGACACAGATTTTATTTTATGTTGCTATTGCTTTTAAAGCCACATTAAAATTAGCTGAAAGAGTAACTATGGGTAATTCACTATGGGATACACTTGTTATTAGTTAGCACATATGTTTAACTGAATTCTTAAAATTGGAGGCAAGTATTTTTTATTGTGTTAGCGTAATATTTTCTATAAATAATATTTTTTATAAATGTCAAATTATTTTATTTCGTGAATCAATCAGAAAATATCTTTCAGAATTTGTATAAATTTGTTTAAAAAAATATTAGTCATCGTCTTTTAGATACCTCAAGCTAAAATTAATATCTTTTTATGATTTTCTGGGCATTTTAATAAAATTCTCTGGCATTTCTTTATCTCACTGTTCAGTGACACCCTGGTTTTAAGAAGTTGTAATAAATGTTTTCTTTTTTTTTTTACAAAATAATAATTTAAGCATATTTCTTCAAATTTTAATCTAACTTAACAGAGGTCATTTCTTATTCAAACTTATATGGTAACAAGAGTTACTATTTTCACAAAAATCAAAACTTTATTAGAATTAAAGTATTATATAGACATTGAACTGGAATTATTTTTAAAGAACAATAGAATTTTTCTCATTATTACCGATTTCAAAACAATATTTTATACACTTTCCCCAAAATATTTGTTTTACTATTTACAAGATATCTGCAAAATTTCAGATTCTCAAATTCATGACTAATTCCAAGAATTTTTCATGACTTAATGAAGTTACTATTTTCTAAGATAAAAACACAACAATAAATTTAAAAAAGCATTATAAAAACATTCATTGAAATGATAGGTATAACCAAAACTGTTATACTCTGCATCTTCATAGATTTTAAATTTAAAAAACAGAGTAAAGAAAGAGTTGAAGCAATAAAATAGCTGAAAAAAATACAAAAGCGAATAATTCCTTTTTTTTTCTGCAGAATTACATTCTAAAGATACTTTTTTTGTTCATCAGAAAGGAAAAAAATACTCCTGATTTTTCTGTTCTCATTTCGGAATAAAAAAATTTGCCAATGGCTGGCTTGCCTGCAGCTAAAATTTTAAATTTATAAAATAAAAATAATAAATAATAACAAAAATTCTGAAATCACAGATAAAAGATAATTCGCTCTAGAAATGAAGTTTCTTCTTTCATTTTTTGAAAACACATCATAATTTTTAAAGAACACAACAAAACATTTTATATTTTAATCAAATATGATTGTGAGTGGGGATTTCGTTACAAATTCAGATATTCGGAACACCATGAAATTGGGGGAAGGGAGATAAATTCCATTTTAAAAATTAGATTTTTTGGTGACCTAAATCCATGACTTTTCGTGATTTTTTTTAAAAAATAGCTCAGATCATGACATTTCATGACAATTTTTGCTCAATACCAAAATTTATGACTTTCTAGGTGCTCGAATACCCTGTATTTATTCACAAAGAAACATAAGTGATATTAGATACTAAATGTAATGGAATGAAACAGAGTTACAAACTGAGTTAAATGTAAAAATAAAATAACTAGAAAGCAAACAAAATAAAAGGAAAGATCATCGGGGGCCTTAGGATTATATACAACTACATACAAATGAATTGACACACGGGTATGTATACAAAGAGTAAAATTCTTCATTCTAAAGTTTCAATGTTTTTTAATACAAATATAATTTTTTATGTGCACTTCTGTACATTATTTCAAAATAAACATTTGATGACCTTAATGAGGAGATTGAATCAATACAACAAATTTCAATATTGTGAACATTAAAATTTAATATAATTGTAAAAAAATATATAAATGGGAAGTAGTTTTACAAAACTTCATCATTTGTTTAAAAAACTCTAAAATAACATGTAATACACACAAAATGCTTTATAAATTTTAAATTTAGAAACTTTCGTATATTCTGGTGTAAAGTCTACCCCATATTTTTTATTCTAAGATAGCAAATTTCCGGTACATTACGTGTATAAGTCCACCAATGAAAAAAAAAAAAAACAATTATGAAAACTTTTATTTCATTGTAAAATCTTTTAAAAAGTGAAGAATTTCAAATTCTATGAATGGGGGTAAATATGATTTTATGTGGGATGAAGTTGAATCCATTGCAGAGTGAGGTCTCTATGACAACACTGCTAAAGTTATTGAAATCCCACTTTGATAATGTTCTGCAAATTTTAAATTTGTAGCTTTATTGTTTAAGTTTTTACTGTGCAATATCTTTTGAAATACTCTTGAATAATTTATCTTAACTTTTCTTATTCATAATTTTTTTCTGAACACATTTATAACATAATTGATATTAAAAAAAAATTTTTTGTAAAAAAATATTATGAGAAATGATTATGAAGAAGTGTTTTATCTAATTAAATTAATACATACGTTAATTAAGCAGATATTTTTATTAGAAAATAAATAATATTAATCTAAACAAAAGTGGTATTTTAATTTTGTGTAACATCTTTGAGTATTTTTATAAGCTTAGAATTATTGTTAGAACATAAACCTAAAACTAAATAAATGTATTTATTTCTTACCATTGTTCAATGCAAAACAAACAGTAGGCATGAGTGCAAGGAAGAGTTACTTCCGGTTTTCTTTCCATGCATATTATACAATCTTCTGTTTCAGGATTTTCTCCGGATGTAATCCTAAAATTAAAAGTAATTTATTAACTAGAATAGTTAAAGTACTTCTAAATACAAATGTTCAATTGATAAATGGTAAGATAAATTAATATTATGCATGAAGATTGTATCATAAATGAAAAAAAAGGTAATGTGGGGGTAGTATTTATCGACAATGTCAACCTTCATCTATGAAATGGTACCCCGACATAGAGTCGAGTTAGCATGTCTTATATACTAGTGAATTGTAGTTGTAATTTTTGTAGTGGTAGATACGCTACAGTACTCCCCCACCAGAATTATAGCTGTGATAGAATTCAACACATGGATACCACTAGTTGATATATTTGTGACAGATCGGGAGAGCTGGATTAAGGTCACTGGGTTTTGAACATTAGTCATGAGAGCTGTATTAAGATCATGGTCGCAGTCGCTCCTGTGTTGCCTTTAGCAGTCGGATGAATGCAGGTTGGCGTTGTGTGTGATCGAGACGAGACTGAGTAGCAAAAGTGCGAGGAGGTGGATAATGTCACAGTCACAAGTAGCAAGTCAACAGTTCAATGTGGACCATCCAATGAAGTAGGAGTTACCAGATCGAAGTGGGCGTTACTGCCAAGGTAGGCATGTTCACATCATGTCCGAAGGTCACCAATATGGTGATAGTATTTATCAACAATGTCAACCTTCATCTATGAAAAAGTACTCCGACATAGAGTCGAGTTAACATGTCTTATATATACTAGTGATTGCAGTAGTAATTTTTGTAGTGGTAGATATGCTACCGTAACATATACAACTTAAGTGTTGTAGAGAATAGTAGTTGAAAAGATATTTCTCATTAAGCTCTTTGTTCATTTAGCTTTTACATTAGCTAAATGAACAAAATACACTAAATTTAAATTACATTGTACAATTATTACATCATTAATACAGACTACTTAATTTTTTTTCCATTCATACTGTAGATGTTATATTAGCTACAAAATAAATATTAGAATTTTAAAACCCAAAATCTGACACATTTAAAATGCAATAAAGTTAAGATGGAGGATAAAAGAAATCGTAAAAGAATAAGTAAATTTGAGTTTATTAGCCACAATCACAACATATAAGATGCACGTAGCAAACACTGGGTTGTTGGTATTCCAGTATTGGAAATATTATGAAAAATAAGATGACAGAAGCCATTCAAAAGACGAAACTTACTTTCTATGTTTCAAAACAAAATTTTAAATATTGAAATGAAACCAAAATGAAATTAATAAATTTTAAAAAGAATAATTGTAATTTAATTTCTTAATTGAACACCACTGTGCTTAAAAAAGTTTCCTCCCCCCCTTTTATTACTCAGATGAACTACATTAGAGAGAAAATTAGTTTGTAACTATGAAAAACAATTACTAATTTCTAACAGTGCTTTTTACTTAATTCCCTGCAACAATGTTATGAAAACGTAATAATACCTTAAAAAACAATATTTAATAGAATTATAGAAAGAAAGAAAAACTCACTCATCCAAAATCATAGATGCTGAAAATTGTTTCAATAAACCACTGGGGTTTTCTGATTTGGCACTAGCACAGTTCTCAATTTCTTGCTTGTAGTTCATATGATACAGTATCATTTTGTAGCCTGTTAGGAACTGCCTCAGGTTCAATAATTTGTAAACTAATGATCGAGGAGGAGAAGTTAAGTGCTAGAAAGAAATATATATTCAAAAAAATAAATAAACGCTTTGAAATAAAAAAAAAATTATAAAATATTGAATTATATAAAACCACGAACACTTTAAAAAATATTAACAATAACCTCACACAAGGTTGACTGGTTTAAATTAATGTGATTTAAACCACAGTTTTCTTTTTTTTTTAAATTTAAAAAAAAATTTTTACAAGAAGAAATTTTTTAAATAACTTAAGTTTTCATTATTAACATAACACAATGAAAAATAGTAAATTTTTTCCATAAAAATCTCTTTAATCTTGACCTAATATGAATCTGCGTTACTTCAAATGAATAAATGTGCTACGTAATTTTTAAAAGATTATGTATTACTGTTCTTTTGCTAAAATATATAATGTGAGTAAATTTAAAGTCAAGTCGTAATGTGTCTAAAAATTATATAAATAATGCAGACCATCATTATTTCCATGTTCAGATAGTTTATAAAATTATTCAAAAAATGCAATTATAGAACAAGGGACAATCTAAAGTTTCACCATTTTTTTTCATCTTGTTAATTATGTTTTTGCATGTGACAAGCATAAATATATTATACTTGCTACAATCAAAAGCATAAATGGAGATGAGGTGCTTTTCTGAATTTTATATTTTATTACCAGATTTTTTTTTCTTCTGTTGTCATAAACAAATTATTATTGTATGTTCTACACAGCATGTTTTTATTGATTCTAATATTTTCAAAATACAATGCTTATATAAAGGGCATAATTAAACATTATACAAAATTCATATGCATTTAAAATTTAACCAATGTATTATAAGCGCATATTGATATGCTTAAAGCTTCATTGTGTTAATTAAAATGACAAAAAAGATTTATATTTCTTATTTTTAATTAAATCATTATAGAAAAACATACCTTTACTATTATATATACATGCCAATTTGATGTTTTTAGTACTTTCATCATTCCACTATTTTCAAGTATTTTTCAGTTGAAAATAAAATGTTTCTTGTTCTCCTTAAAGTTGAAATGAATTGAATTGGGGAAAAATAATCATTTTATTCATTAAATTGATATAAAAGTTGTAAATTGAGTGCAGTCTATTAATGATGTTAAATATTTCCTTAAGTATTAGTTTGTTTTATATATACAGGATAACAAAAGGAAACTCTTTTCCTTTTATTTTTTGTTACTAATATAACGTTTAAATATTAAGTTTCTATTTTTAATATTTAAGTTAAAATATGAAGTGATGTATTGTATAAGCACATTCAAAATATTCATCGATTCTTTTTTAACTGCTTGAAAGTTGATTTACTGCACAAATTAGAATTTACTAAAGAGGGATTTATACAAGAGTTTTAGTGATTTGATGGCCCACTTCAACACAAAAAAAAAATGAAGATAAAAACTTTAAATTATCTTTTTGTAATACAATTTTTTTAAATATTTCTAAAATAAAATATTTATTTTAAACTAAAGAGCTTAAATTTTAGTCGCTCATAGCTGATAACTTGTCAGATAATATAAGAAAATTGATTTAAAATAAGAACTGAATGATAGATCGTGAAATATTGATTTAAATCCCATATCCTCACAATGATATAGCAGTTTTCATTTCTTCGGGATACACTGAAACCCGGATATAAGAATATGCTTGCGCTGTAACGATACAAAGATTTAACATTCTTGGATTCACTGTAACTATGTTAAAGATAGGCAAAGACAATGTTGGTTTTTTCTAGCGATAAAGATATTATTTCAACAAATTAATGCAAAAAAATATCCTTTCTGCAATGTCATACCAAAAATTAAAAAAAGTCATGGCAAAAGTTCATTTTAAATGTATATCCTAATTAAATTAAATAACTTAATCTCAAAAATGAACATAAATATTTTTTTTGTCAATAAGATGCTGAATTTTAATTGATTGATAAAATGTATTTAAATAGTAGACCTGTTGTATTGGTTTCATATGATTCACATCATCTTTAGTAATTGTTAAGTATTGGACTAAATAGGATAAAGAGGATGTATTTAATAATCTTGGAAGTGAACAAAAAAAATAATAGAGATTTGTGATTTACCCGAACACAAACTATTTTTATAGTGTGTTTCCAAAAGAATGTAGTATCACTTTCCTCTTTAATCTTAAATTCTAGCCTTGAGTTGCCGTCATCTGCAGCATGCGCTAATCTAAGAAATGGGGGAAAGGAAACAAAGTTTAAAAAAGGTAATCAACAAGAATTTTCAAAAAGTAAAATTTGTATCGTGAAATATGTGTAAGTTGACTAATTATGGTGCACTTTACTGGTAATCTAATAGAGAGGCATGTGCCATTATTTTTGTTTCTTCTTAATCGATTGTTATATCTCTCTAATTCAGAGAAATTCTAACAAACACATAAACTAATGGCATAAATATTCCTAAAAAGTTTTTTTTTTTAAATATAAATAGAGTACATACATCACGATAATTTTTATCCCCAGAACGAAACAACATGAGTGGATGGTGAATTAAGAGAGAAATTCTCTATCTTTCACTTCACCTTGTTATTTCAATAGAAGAAAATTGATGTAAGAATTTTCAAATCAAAATTCTAGGCAGAATGGTTTATTGCTCTGCATTTTTGTTATACAGACAAATTTGTTAAATGAGGACCTTATACATTTTATAGTTAATTTATCACTTTTTGGAATGCAATTGTTATATTTATTATACAAAGTGAACTTTTAAAATGTTCTTATTTTCCTTAAAGCATCATAATAATGCAGATTATTCTATTTTATTCATTCTAAAATTCAAATTTTTACCTTTAAAACTATCTTACAAATAAAAATAAACAAAGAACACAACTTAACAATAAAGTAATGATTACAATGTGGCTTTGAGGAGAACTCCTCGAGAGGGAAAGTCTGGGACTGTCTGTTACTATGGAAACAAGTTAGGGTACATTTCTGATGGGAGTGAAATGGAGGAGAGATGGTGTCGATTGATTTACTTACGGCGACCTATGCCAAGATTAAGACAAAACTATTCACCCCAAACCACAGTCTTTTCTTCATAACCACAGTACCCACCACAACGCGCGAGACAGATGTCTGAAGGAGTTCTCCTGAAAGCCCCACTATATATGGAATTATTAATTATAAACACATAATTTTTTTTTCTAATTTTAGTGCTAAAATGAAGTAAGATACATTTTGATGGCATTGTTGTTTACTCCTTAATTTCTTTATTTATGTTGTATTTTTATTACTTTCTATAATATTTTTGAAAGAATAAATTCTTCAATATTCTTTCATTTTAATTTTGCTTTGAACTGATTAGTTAGTAGTATATTTACTGAGATAAATATATTTACTGAGAGAAATAAGGGGTTATGAAGGATAATTACAAAACTATCCAATAAATAGGACTTAGTTTTGTTTAGCAATTAAGAATTATTTTTGCCTCTTTCTTGTTTCTCGACCAACGTATTTCACCCAATGATGCTTGATTCTGGTGCTCTACTGGGAACTGTGTCTTTACAATCAGTCTACTATAGGGAAGGAAGCAAACAACATGCTGGTGGCCTCATCAATGGGAATGTCAAGATTTTTTCTTACTCATTTCAACAATGAATGTGCTTCACCCATCCATCAATTCACAAGAGCAATCTCTTGCAAATGTGAGCTTGAATTTCCCCTCGGGCTTCAGGCTTTTTCCTCCTTCCATAATTTTTTTACTTCGAACAATTGTTTTAACCCAAAACACATTTATTACGAATCCTTAGAACATAAACAGACTAGTAATTATTATCATGTTGTAAATTGGAGTTTGTTACAAATTTGTACATGATGTTGTACAGTCCAAAATTTGTCTGAGCCTGCCACATTTACAAGAAAATTTTATAAGAATGCCATTTATAAGAAAATAATAATTTTAAAAAATACCATTTTTCGAGCAAATTGATATCAATCTGCTATATTAGAGTATTTTTTCATTAAATTCACATCGATCAGAGAATTCTTGAGTAATCCTGCAGAAAAATGAAATTGCTTAACAGGCCGCATCAAAGAATAAGCCAAACATCATGATAATTTGATTTTTAAATACAGATAAGAGCTAACATATTTTCCAGCAATTATCATGATCTAATAAAGTGTGAGGTAAATTATTTTTAACGTTTCGATGTTTCCTCCAGAATTGCTTCAAAGCAGGTCCCTATTAAAATCTAAATGCATCAACATCCAACTACTAATTTTCAACAAGAGATTAAAAATTTAAAACATAATTTAAAGCAGAACTTCAACCTCAAAGAGTTTAATACAATTATTTTGCCTTAATATGAGGTTATTATGTTCAATAAGACCAAAGGATATCAATCATATAAGTAACAGTATATATATATAAGAAAAATTAATAAATATACAAAAAAAAAAACCTGATTTATATATGTCTGTAGAGAGAATAATAATTATTATACAGCAAACCACATGCATTTGTAAGGAATCAATCTTTTTATTATTATAATTATCTCATGCCAGACTTAGTCATGGACCACAATATATTAGCAAAGTTAGAACAAAATTAAAATGTATCTACTTTGATTATAAACCTACAATAAAAGAGTAACAAATATGAAACTAATAAAATAAGGCATATAAACATACATTTCATTGACTTGATTTAATTTCTCTAACAATTCTTCATGAGAGATATCAAGTAAATTTTTAATGGTATGAGCTTCTTTAACAACATCATCTTTTATTTCTTCCAGTTGACTTGTAAAAGATTGGCCCATAGTCTGAAATGTAAAACTAGTATGTAACACAAATCATACTTATCATTGCCTTAAGACAGTGGTTTCAATAAACTTTAGTAACTATTGGTCCTCAGGACCCTGGTCATTCACATTTCCACTTCACTTTTTAAAATGACATATATCTCCCATTTATATTTTTCAGTGACAGCACTCTACACAGAAATCACAGTAATTGTAATTTTTTAACTCTAACTAACAGCTGTCAAATAGTTTTCTAAATTTTGTAAAGTTGTGGTTTCAGTACCGTGCCATTTTAACACCTTTAACCTTTTGATGATGGCTGGTACAAATGGTGTACCAGAACAATGGATGTTAGCACACTAAAAGCCGTATCCAAAAGGTTAAAAACATTAGACAGTATACAATTATGCTTTAATAAAAACTTAAGAACATTTTTTTTAAGCTAAGGCTATGCTTATTTGTTTGACATACATAAAGAAAATATACAAATAAAAGTGCTTTTCTCATATTCTAAAAATTGACTAATTAGTTAGTAACACAGATTTAAGTTAAATATAGAGTTAAAAGTTTAAAATAAAATCAACTAATTGAAAAAAAAATAGCTTATTCAAATATGTATTAAATACTCAATTCCATAAAATTTATACTCTTCTTTAAAATAAAAATGGCCCTTTGTGCTCCAAAGCTAAGACATTGTTTAATCATTAGTATGAAAAAGATTTTTTTAAAAATTCAATTGTTCTATAAACTTAAGATTATTTAGTAAAATTTTGACTTAAAAATATGTATTACAAAAATGTTTACAAGAAATAACACTGAAATGATTAACAATAAAAAGGCTTTGAACTGAGATACACATATCATAATTATGTTAATTAATACCATAATCATCATAATTAACAAAATAGATATACCATATCATTTGACCACCTTTACCTCATATTCTTTTGCATCATTCTAAAAAAATTAGACATGAAATATCTTAAGAAATTTTTCCTTTTCTCTACACTTAACTTCAAACTAACAAAAAAAAAAAAAAAAAAAAAAAAAAAAAAAAACATGTGGTGGAATTTGAATTAGAACAGTAGAGAAATTTAGAAATTATAAGGATGTCAGTTTAAATCATCCACTGATTTAAATAAAATTTAAATTAACTTACAAATTTGTATTTACAATCAAATAAAATTAAATCTTAAAATTTAGTGTGTTGTTAATAATATATGGATTTCAATATTCAAAGAACTTTTAAAGCAAAAGCAATTGTGATGATAAATATGCTGCACATATTTGCATACAATCTACATTTAAGACAGTGATGCAAAAAGTTATAAAAAGAAATAAAACAATCCTGAATAATAAATTAATACAGACATGTAATCCCCCCCCCCTTATATAATCAAACATTTAGGAGACCTGTTTTCAGCAAGCATGTATTAATCATCACCTAATAATAATTATTTTCACAAAATATGTTAAAATAAATATTTAAAAATTTAGTTAAGCTATTAGAAATAAAATATACCTTATATCTGATAACACAATCATATCAAAATATATTTATTTTAAGCAAGGATTTATTACAAATCTGAATTTAACCTGATGAATTTCTGGAGGATATTTCGGTATCGTGATCCGTCAGATTTCTGAATGGATAGTGAAAACTTAGTTAAAAGAATTAGTAAGAAATATTCTACTAAATAAAAAATTATGCATTATGTCACTTTAATTAAATGGAAAAGATTTTTCTTAAAAAAATCCTCAGTCAAAAAGATTATACAAAAGGTTGACATAAACTTCGAAGAATCTACATTTTCTTGAAATTGCTCATATTTTTGCAAGAAAAGAAGAAAGAGATACTTCAATTATTTGTTCGTAATTAAAAAATAAAAATTTAGTTTACTACGTCAAACAATAATATATGAAAATAACCTTCTCAGTAGGTTTTCAGTCTCAACCAGTCTAATTTTAAAAAATGTATTAAGGAATATTTCGCCGTTTAAAAGTTTTTTTATTCATTTTAACTATTTTATATAATTTCCATCATTAGGAATGAATTCAATAAACACAAGAAGGGGAACCATCCGAGCGAAAAATCAAAATATTTATTAAGACGGAATCTGCAGGTACAGTTACAAAAGTTTATATCAATTTTCATCACGTGAGGCCATCAGAAATGTTTCATTCTTGCTGCTGTAAGTCTCGCAGTGGACTGATTATTTAACGACATAGGCAAAAGTGTGCCGCGACAAAAATAAAGGTTGAGAATCGATGACATAGAAACTGAAGTTCGCCACACTATGAAAGACCTTGGCAACAGATAGGAAGCAACGCAGCAACAGATTTTGATCTACGTTGCCATTGCGATGGGGATAGAAAGCAACGCAGCAACAGATTTTAATCTACGTTACCGTTGCGATCGGTGGAGACCCAGCTTTAGCGTTAGATTCGTGATCGATCTTAGACCCTCTCCTCTTCTTCTCAGTTGTATATTAATGTACCTACGAAATTTCCCCCTTTCTTATTATTTTTCGTAGTTAATTATCTGAAATATTTTTTTACATTTCCATGACGCTTTTTTTAGAACTATGTTCAACGCAGTTTCCAGTTCCATGCAATTTTCTAACTTAAAAAATGTTTGATCTACTTGATGCTAAGTGTTGCCGTAGGTAGAGAATTCTGCTCTACGCCACCTGTAGCCTATTTCGATCGCCAATTGTAAAATGTAATTTGAGTAATATTTTGCAAACTTTAAATAATGTTAAAGAAAAAACACCAAAGTAATTCGATAACTTTAGAAACGGCAAGGCTACGCTTCTGATCAGAAACGTAACATTTTAACTTGGAGAGAATTGAACCTCGGCCTACTGTGATCCGGCTCAATGGTCTGCAAGAATGTACGAAACAATGACATGTACATAAAATCCCACCATTAATCCCCGATGATTCTCTCCATAACCATTTATTTTGGAGGTCACTTTCTTATATATTCCACTATAATAAGAATTTTGATTACGGTACCCAGGTCCAGAAGGCCAATTCACCAAATGGCATAGATTCATCGCTTGACGATTCATTCTTGTATCAACGCAAAAGTTTAAGTCGATGGCCAAATCTTTATATAATGAAAATTTTAAAAGTCCGACCCACCTTTTCGCAAAAATATATCTTAAAAGTTACATAAATTTTAGATAATAATCTAAGTGAATTTCTTTTTATAATTCAATTTCAAAAATATTTCAGCTTAACACTCATAGAAAAAAATGGTTCTGTTAATAGTAAATTCGGCTGTAAACTTTTATACTATTTCCAATACATTACTTTATATTGAACTTTAACTAATCAATGTTTTACAATGAAGTTGATCTATGCTACATACATTCTTTAAGATATTTTTAATGACAAAAGCTGTTATGTGTTGCTTTTACCCTAGATTTCTCTGTAATTGGGTATAATATGAAAAAAACACTACTACTTCGATTTAGTAGGAACAACATATGACGCAATGCTAAACGAATGGAATTTAGTTGTTGTTTATTTAGTTATTGTTATTAGTAGTTGTTGTTATTTGTTTTAGTTGTTGTTGTTTATTTAGTTGTATTTAGTTTCAATAACTTTTCTTTATAATGCAATAAAATCTGGCGAGCAGCTATTTAAACGATCGAACACTTCGTTTGTTTATTTGTGGCTTGAAGTTAGGCTCGCAGAAAATGCCGTTCATGGGTTAAATTTAGTAGGAACAACACAACCTGTGACGTAGGCTATATTATACCCAATTGTATTTTTTTATTTAGCTAAAACTTATGAATATAGAAAAAAAGATAATAATCATATATTATTTTTCTTTTTTTTTTCAGAATTTATTGAAAAGTGTAGCAGATACAGGAGTAGAAGAGTTTTTTCTTATGCAATACTGGGATGTTGAATCGCAATCAGAGCCGGATGGGCAACAATGTTGCATATCAGCACAGCAACTTGCATTTGGATACGGGCAGCAATCATATCCACTTCCTTTTCGATGACAACAAGTTGATCCAGTAGAACAAACTGAACTATCAGGACAAAGTATGAAATTGGGCATTTTGTTAAAAGCAGATTTCAGATTCAAAACTGTCTTGAAATAGACTCGTTCTGGATTCTGCTCAGAATTGCACTGAAGTGTGGTGAGGTTGCATACATAATTTTGTGGGCAACAATGAAATCCATCAGAACAACATACAGCGTTGGGTAAAGGACAACATTCCCAGCTTTTCCAGTTTTCGCAACATGTCTGGCCTGTAAAATTAAAGTTTCAAATAAATGAAAAATAATTTATAGTTGTAGTTCATTTACGTCGCACTAGAGCTGCACAATGGACTATTGGCGACGATCTGAGAAACATCCCTGAGGATGATCCAAAGACATGCCATCACAATTTTGATCCTCTGCAGAGGGGATGGCACCCCCGCTTCGGTAGCCCGACGACCTGCACGCGAAGTCGAGCACTTTACGGTAGAATAGTTTACCGAGGACCAATACCGCACACCCTCGGTCCCTACGCAGACTGATCCAAGTGGTCACCCACCCGCACACTGACCGAAGCCAGTGATGCTTGACTTCGGTGATCTGCTGGGAACCGCGTCTTAACGATCAGTCCACTGCGGGACAATAATTTATAGAGATGAGCGAAATATAATATTAACTTACATACTAAATTAACACCACACCTACAGACAAATTTTTAGAGTTTTTATCAAAAATAAATGAAAAAACTTGCTTATTAGGTTCAAAAATTAATATTTAAGAGACGAAACAGCAAAAGCGTAATCGAATAGCAATCAATCGCTTTTGAGAAAGACGGGATAAATAACATAAAAGTCAGCTTGTTTGCCGTGTGAAGTTTGAAGGTTTTTTCTAATAGCTGACTTTCAACTGCTTACTGTTTCCTCCGACAATCAAACAAGTTTTGCTATCTCTAATCTTACTTTCCTTGTTAATGATTAGTCTAATTTTGATAACGCTTTTGTTTTTATTCCTTGTTTTAATGTTAGTTAGAGATTCTTAGTTTACGCGTTGCTTTTTAATTTTTTCTTCGAGGGTTTTAAAAACACACACTAAGCTTGTTGCTGAAAAGTGTAAATAAAATTTAATAAATATTGGATTCTTTTGTTATTCAAGGAACGAAATTTCCACTCACACTCACCAGTCAGCCGTTGGCGACCAAATATTTATGGCAGGCGAGTAAGTTTTGCCTTGTAAAATGCAGTGTTTCGAATTGAACTACAAATTTTTTTAAAGAGTTGGGAGTTAACATCTACACTCTATATATCAGGACGAAACAACTGTGCAAACATTATAGTTCGCAAAATTTAAGGCTATGTCAGTAGGACTTATTATTTAATTTATTTCTATTATTGTTATTATTTTATTATTAGTATTATTTTATGATTAATGTTATTTTGTTATTATTTAATATTATTTCACTTATTCATTGATGTAAAAAAAATTCCCTTTTATTTTCAGTTTTTAATCTTTATATTTTTGATCTCCAAAAATATTTATACCGCATGAGTTAATGTTTTAAAAATTGCTTACATTCTTCGTCAAAATAATGGCAAGCAAAAATTTTCGTTTGACTAGAATTGATATTTCATGCCCTGCTGTAAACTATAATAAATTTTTTTAATAGTTACTTTTATAATTATTTTTATAATTTTATACATTATTTTCTTTAAAAGCTATTTTTTTCATTTCGTAAGTAGTTATCGATACTTATTGATCTAGATTTATGAAATTTTTATTCACCCATATTTTTCAGTTTTTAATTTCGAGGGAACTAAGTCAAGTATGACAGGCCAAGGTTTCTTTTGTAAATCACCTAATCACTATCAGTAATATTAGGCTACTGTTATTAAAAGGGGGTGGAGATTTTGATATTTGTAAATCAGCGAATATATATCGTGATACATATCGCGAATACATTTTTGTGATGTGACACTTCTTGTGATAAAATTTTACTTCCTATGGAACACTAAGCAACAGAATTTGGGTTGCGGTAGCTCAGGGGATAGAGCACTCGCCTCTCAATGAGATGCTCTCGGTTCGAATCCCTGTCCTGGCTGGTGGGTACGAATGCCACTTTCTGCTTGCATGACAGCCAATTTGTAATCCAGTGTCCTTTAGCGACTTTTGGGACTTTTCCTCTCGGTTGTAGTCAGTCCCAATTAGGGTGCAAGTTTTTATTACTTTTAAAATTTGTTACCTGAGCTAGAAAAAAAAAACATTCAAAAATAAAATATTTTGTTATTTAAAAAAATGCCAAACAGGAAAGTGGGCTTTAAAGGCCGCTATATTGGTAAATCACGTTGCGGCAATACGCAGTGGTAGACGGATCATGGGTTAGAATCTCCTGAGAATCAGGTTTACAATGTGAGTGGTTTCTGTAGTTTTCCTCTCCATCTAATGCAAATATGGGTAATTTCCATCAGAAAGTCCTCCTGAAGGCTAATTTGTTCTGATATAGTTCCAGGAGTACCCTTGAGGTTTGCGTTGGGTTAAAAATTACAAGGCATGATATATTGATAGTCGTTAACACAAAAAAAGGTAGACTGTTCGATGCTGTATTAAAATAAAACTGTGGATTAAAATTAATGATCCTAATTTCCTTTATTGGAGATTAGATTTCGCTTTTGTGATCATAATTTGCGATTTATAAAATTTTTCTCTAACCAAAAGTTGGAGAAAGTAGAAAGCATTGAATACTTTCTTCAAAAATATCCGTTGCAGTTTACTTAGTATAATATTTTAAGTATCAAATCAATATCTTTAAATGTTAGAGGACTATAAGAATACGATTTAGCGAGAAGAAAGATAGATAATTACGAAATAAGATATTTTTTTAAACATATTCATTCAATTAAGCCGCACTTAAAATTCTTACAATAATATTTCATCACTCAAAAATAAAAGCTAGTCTTCTAAAAAAAAAATATTTTACATTCCACGTTTTTGATATTGACGATACACGTTATCTTGTTTTCTTCATTATGTATTTTGCTTTTATCACCCTCGCAAAATCTTATTCTAAGTCCTTCTAAGTCTAACAAAATCTTTAAAGATTTCTTAAGAAATATAAATAAACGTAAAATATTAATTTTATTTTATAACTGAATAAAATTAGCAATAAAAAATGCCCCAATTACAGTTTCTATAATGGAGCAAGGGATGCATTTAGGGTAAAATTCGTACATAGTTTCAAAAATATTCTTGAAAAATCCAGACTAGCGTACCACCAACGTGCTTTTAATGCATTATTAAATTATAAAGCTTAAATAAAATAAACAAATATAGCTGCGAGCGAGACCAGTTCCGAAATTGAAGACAATTTGTTCCTTTAAAGCCATTTTTAATGTAAACAATAGCACTGAAGCTTGTAAGCCGTTAATAAGTGCATTACCAAACTAATCTGCAAACTAACTAGGGTGGTCTGCAAATTATTTAGGTAATGTGGTGGAAATGTGCAATTTAAGTAGGTAATGGCAATAAAATATTTCCGTGTAATAGGCTATTCTATAGAGGAAATTCCAAAAACTTCTTAAGTAACCATTTGAAAACAATATTAATAAAGAATTTGGCGACAAAAGGCCACGTTTAAATTAAGTTTGGCTTGCCGCTATGTTGTGGCAAGTCTTTTATATAAATACACTTAATACAATACACACCCTTGTTTTTATACACACACTAGCAAAAATTTTACCTTGCCCCAGTTGGGCTCCAAATTTGCTATAGATAACTCCCATAAGAGCATCCATCAAGAAACCAATTTTAGGAAGTCTAGTTTTTTTAATATTGGAAATAGAATGGCTTCCAACATTGGTTGAATAACGGCTACAAAATATCGGGTGTATTAGCCATTTTTATATATGGACTAATATAGACTGTTTAACGGCTGTAAAATATAGGGTGAACTTCAAAAATTTGAATAGGGCGAATATTGGCAAAATATTGACTCTTTAAATCGTTATTGAGCCAAGATTGGTGAATATTGGCCCAATGAGAACCCAAGTTATTTTGCTTCTAAAACCTTGATAAAGCAAGAACTTCAGCCATTTGACTCGAAACTCTTAATCTGCATATTTTTCATACTTTGTTTTATTATTTAGTTTTAATTTAGATCCAAATAAGTGAAAAACATTATATCTACCGTTTTAATAATTAATGGTTATGAAATATAACATGAAACACTAGTGTCTTTTTTTGCGTTAAGGGTAAAATCTTCCAAACAAGGCTCACTTCCAAACAATAACTTTTCAAATTTTTACTTATTTGCAGTTATATAGATCTAAGAGAAGTGGTTATTCATCAGGGAAATATCTTTAATTAACAAAATCAATTAGTGATAAATTTATGAATATGAATAGAAAAAAATTCAAACAATTTTTCGTTTTTTCTGTCGGAATTTTCTATTTTAGTACAAATATAACTCCAATAGCTCTGTTTAGTAACTATTAGACTGTTATTTATAATGAAAAAATACTAAACTACGTGTTAGCTTAAAATTAAAGCGTCAGAGAAAAATATATATAGGAGACACCGGTGTGCCATTTGTGTCAAATTCTTGGAAACAGAGAAAATTGTTTGCAATGCATCAATTAATACTATTTTAATGAAAGGAATGTCCCCAAGGGGAAAAAAATCATATTTTATATTTTAAAAAACTTTTAAGTACACTTACCCTCAGAACAAATACTTTCTGAACACTTTCCTATGACAGAGGTAAAGACAGCAAAAAGCACGAACAAAAGATGCATCACAAAACCTGAAATATGGAAAAATAAAAATAACGATTAAAAACTTTTGACTATCAGGATTATGGCAAGGTTATGGGTATTTGAGAGATGTTAGGAATTTTTAAACGTTAAAACTGTAGAGAAAAATTTAGAATTGAAGAATTATAGAAATTTTAACAATGGCAATAAAGCATTGTATTTTTCAATTTATGTTTTTGATGCTGAAAGGTGCCATGATATTACAACAGTGACAATAAAATATTGAAATTTCCTCCATATGTTTTGTTGTTGTTGCTGCTTCTAATGCTACATGCCAATACCAGCAAGCTTGCTTGGTGAAACCAAACGAATTTAAGGCAGAGAGTGAGTTTCTTGTTTTTCAGTGTCGCCATCTGTTTCCAAGAATACGATTTCAGACTCACAGTTGTCACAGTCCGTTTATGGGGCGGACCCATTCATATATCCAGTCATTCATCCACGGATCGTAATTTTGAATTGAACCAAAGAACTATCAATCTCCAGTTCAGTATCCCCAGAGGTATGATTTGTTTTGGAAACATGGAGGACTTTGTAACCCGACAGATTTAACACGCACCAACCTCCATTTACTACACAGGGAGTCTTCAGCCAGCGGTGACAGAGCTTACAACCTCTTGGACAAGGACACAACGCCCTACCAACCACGCTGTCCCGGCGAAGTATGGCCGGAAGAGCGTGGTTTGTTTTTGATCTTGAAAAGCTCCATGGCATTTCAACAACGACAATAAAATAATGAAATTTCCAATGTATGTTTTTAATGTTGAAAGGCTCCATGATTTTCGTGTGAATTAAAAATTTTTGCGTTGCGGCTACTTCCTAAAATTTCGCTTAAAAGGCAGTTTTATTATTTACTTAATAAAGCGTATATTTTTTTGTACAGGTCATTAGAAAAGTCCGAAATTTTATTGGGGTAATTTTAAAGTGTTTAAGTTTTTTGTTAATTTTTCACAAACTTAAAAGCATTCGATCAAAATTGTTGAATATGTAGTCGCTTAGTTAATGTGTTTTCCCCTCTGTTAAACTATTCAAAAGAATTCATCAAATGAAATTAACTTAGGATTTCCTATAGCTAACAAACATAAAAAATATAACCTCTGCTTTGATTTTGAATTACGTTTAATTCAGTATTAGTTGCACTAAAAATACAGGTGATGGTTTATGGGGAACCCAATTACTGTCTTTAATAACTTATATTTCAAGTTTCATAAGTAAGAGAATTTTCCAAGTTTGGTCCTTTATTTGTTAAGCAAGGGCAAGAAAGGAAACGCAATCGCAGGGTTCAAAAAATCTCACTATTAGTTTACATATTGATTAAAATAGACTCTCCCTATTCATAACAACTCCAAATTACCATTTTTCAATGAAAGGGGAATATTTGGCCTTGATTCTGTCCAAAAGATGGAAAAACTACAAATTTTTTGTATTTACTTGATTTATAAACTTTTACTTGTTTTATATTGTATGTAGGAAAAAAAGCGACGTTTTTTTTTTAATCGTCAGTTACGTACATGAGTATGCGGATTAAAAAAAAACAAACATTTGTAACTCTTCTGTGATCAGTTTTTTCTTTATATTAAAAAATGTGAGAACTATTTACTTACTCCAAAATTAAATCGAAATTCAAGCAATCTGAGACGAGTTACTTATTTATTTGGACATTAGAGAGCTCGACTGCAAAGGAGAAAAATCATAATGCATCCGCTAATAGTTTTCGCGGGTGCCTTAAATTTGACGTGAAATGACTCAAAAACTAATAACCAAATCGATAATGTTTGGATATCAAAATGTTCTTTAAATATTTCTCAACCAATGCGCGAAATTTCACTTTGTTTCATCAATTAATTTTATAAATTTGACTGCGGCACACTCAGGGCAAATTTCCCATAGTAAAGACGGCGCAATATCGTTTTTTTCATACAGGGAAAAATTTTATCATTAAAAGAATAATTTAAATAATTATAATAATTAAAAACTACTAGATGTTAGAAGAAAAAATTCATACATACTTTTTGTTAATAACTGGACCATTTCACATTTATGAAATAATAAAAATGGATAAATGAGACTTAAATTTTTTAACCTTGTCATGCATTTATATAGTTTTTTTTTTTAAACTGTACTTCCTTTTTAAAAAAGGAACTTAATAACTTTATAGTTTCATTTTTGAAACCAGTTTTATTTCTTTTCAGATATCAAATAATCATCCATACACTTGAATTAGTTTTTTAATCAGTAGCACACAAACACACATAAAAAAAATTCTTTGAATAAAATATTAAAACCATTCTTTCACTTCGATAAGATTAATGATAATTAAATCATAAGAACAATAGAATTACTTTGGATTGGTTCTAATGTTTAAGAAAGGCTTCAAAGATATTTAAACTTTCACTTTCGTAAAATACGTTTCTGATAAAGCAATTAACTAAACATAATCTCAAAATTATCAAATTTTTTTCATATTTCAATACTTTTTATATAATCTATCAAATATCTTAGCAAAAATATAATTAATAAAAACTGCTTTTTGAAGGATATACCTTTATCGTGTTACGTTAGAATCGCCCTAAGAAAGTATTTTTAGAATTCTTACAAAAATTGAAAACAAAAAAGTATGCGCACTGGGGGCCTCAAATTAATAAGTGGGAAAAATACTATGGAAATCTGATTAATTACAGTAAAAGAAGACAGGTTCAATAAACATCAAAATAGGTTTCATTGGTGGTTGAAACTTTGAGATGTTTCAAACAATCAACTTTCAACTTCTTTCTTTTTTCTCCTATAATCAAACCTGTCTTGTTGTTTATTACATTCACCTTCCTGTACTGTGATTTGTTAAGCTTTCATCCCGCAATGCTTTTTCTTCGCTTAAATATTAATTTGTGACCCTCAGTTTCATTATTTAATTTTACTTTGAAATTAGCTTTAGATTATGAATAGTAATTGAAATTACTTTGCCAAATTCGGTACACAGTTATGAAATATTTCATAAACAATTATTTTTAAATAATGATTTGGTATATTTTATAATTTAATTAAATAATGAAGAAATAAATTTAATAAAAAGATACATATTTTTTTGTATGTCTTAAAATGAAATGATAGGTCTTGTTTAACTGCATTGCAAACTAGTAAGCTATTATGATGTAAAAAACTGCTGGCTTTTTAATTATAGTCGGTACACATCTTACATCTATCACAAGTGAAGTTATTTAGCGTGTAATATGAAACTTGTTCGCAATATATGTAGCCGTTGAAATCATTGAGCAGTTTAGTTTTCGGCTAAAATAAGTTATCTAGTCCTGTCGTATGTATTTTCTTGCATAATCATAGCAAGAATAATTATAGCATGCAATTTGCAATAATGTTTTCGCATGCTTCAATAATTTTGCAGCAATATTATATACAGTGAAACCCCTTGGGAACGAAAACTCTCTGTTCCACAGTAAAATGGTCGTTAATGGAGGTTGGTCGTTCTTAGGGTTTACCTCTATTGACTTCAAAATGTTATAGAGGGTACATGATTTTTCGCAAGCGATTCTACTTTTAGTTAGTGTCCTTTTCTTGGTGCAGAAAGGCCACTAGTGTTATGAAAACCGGATCAATGAATAAAATTTAACGCCAATAAAATCGATCCCTACTGACATAATTATTAGTAAAAACAAATTTGCCAATTATGAATGATTTTGAGTACTTCATTGATATTCTTGAAAGCAACTAAAATAATTGTTGCAATAAAAAGCTAATGAAATTAGAATAATCATTTTAGTGATTATATGAACCTTGTCAGCAAAAATAAGTAAATCACTACCCACCCTTATACTTGTGAATGATTATTTTTCAAAGCATAGTTTTTACCACAAGTTTAAAGATTTTCTTTAATATACCATGAGTTTTTCTGATAAAAAGGCATTACTGTCTTACGCAATCATCTCCGGTAATTTCCATTTCCTCTATGTGTGTCAATGAGAATAAACCAGACACTAAACCCATCCCCTTCCTTGGATGCTGACGTACCATTAACATAAAAATGATTTCGTATGACTATTTGTTACAATTCTATAAAAATTACATTGCTAAAAGCAATAAAGAAGAATTTTTTTTTAATAATTACTATTGAAAGCTAATGTATTTATTAAACTTGTATCTATAAAATGAGCAAAAATAATTTTTCACCTATGTTTATCTGTCTATGCATTTAAAAGCTAAATTAAGTTAAATAATATGAACATTAGCACATGTAATAAAGATAACAGCTAAGATCTAGATGCAGAATTTGACTAGAGTCAGTGTCAGATGTATATACTTTTCTTGATAACTCTAACTACAAAAAAAAATGTTCATTGAAGGATTATTTACATTTAATGACTATCAGTAATTTGATGTTTTCTAAGAAGTTCTCGAATGATAAGTTTTCTAGACTGATCAATGCTAACTAGGCAATTTTTTTATTCAGATTCAACGAGAATTTTTTTATTTACTTATACATCCACTTAATTTGAAATTCTTGCTTACTAAAGTTATACTTTTAAGAAAATTATTGACATACAGGGTAAGGTGGGTAATACCGGATAGCTAAGATTCGAAGGTCTGTTGGAAATTATATTCATGGCCTTAAAGCTGTATAATAGTAATTATTTTCATATATAGATTAGTCAGTAAAACAAGGAGTAATTCACAAGAAAATTCAACTATACATTTGAAATGGAATTCAATTAGAAAGATTGAGTGTTGTGAAGAGAGTAAGGATTAATCCTTATAAGGCTTGAAAGTAAAATTAAGTAAATACTGAATGAAAAAAAAAAAGTCGTATCTCTACTAAAAAGAATAAATTATTTTGATTTATCAAATTTTTTAAATTCAATTACAGTTTAAAAAGCATTTATTTTTTCTGTATGAACTTTGTTCAAAGATAACAAAATATAGAAAATTGAAACGAATTTATTTCCCAATATAATCTTCATCTGTTTTATTTTAAGCAATAACAAAGGGTTTTTTCTAAAAATGAAAAATGTAGTACCGTCATTCGGGGCTACTTTGTGCAGCGGCGGCTACTTTGTGCAAATTCGAATTCGGCATTTTTCAAGTGCTGCTATTCAGTATTATGTTTATTTCACGTTAAAAATGTGTGGAATTTAAAGATAGAAGTCTCTTCTATTACTACAAACATTTTTTCGAATTTTAAAACAATCTCAGAGTGTGTTTCGTTCATCCAATGTCAACAACTTTCCGAGGACGTCGGATGTCGAAAAGTGTGCGTGGAAACTTTAGCTGTGAAATGCAAAGACGTTGATAAAACAATTGTCGTAAGTGCAAAATTTTTTATTTATATATTAATAAACAATTATATCATGTTAGCGTTAAAAAAATTTGAAAATTAATAACAAATAAACGGAAAATGAAAAAAAATGCACTTTGGGGCTACTTTGTGCAAAGTTTCATTCGTTTTTTTTTTCGACAGAAAAATGGTCAGACGTTATAAAAAAATACCTGGAACGAGAAACTACCGTGATTACACTTTAGAAAAGCTGCAACAATGTTTGCAAGCAGTTGCTGGTGGTATGTCGATTGGAGAAGCTTCTCGGAAGTACAAAATCCACAGAAATACTATTTCTAATAAAATTCACAAGAAACACATGAAACGTGCAAGTAAACTATTATTTTTCTTCTACAAAGAGTTTTCTAATGAATTAATCAAACGATTTAACACATAAAAATACGTTTTATAGGACATCTGGTGATTTTGACAGAAACTGAAGAGCAAGTTCTGACATGTTCATTCAAGCATGTTATCTTCAAATGTATCAATATTATAAATGTTAATGAATATGTAATAATTATTTTTTTTGAAATATCATCCATTTGAATGCTAAAAAAAGTATATGGTTTCCTTTTGTTTAAACTCAAATGTTTTGAAATAAACATTCTTTTTAAGAAAAAATTCTTCAAAAAAAATGGTTTTTTAACGCTGAAAATTATTTTCAAACTAATACCTTTACATATCTTGATGTTTTTGTCTTTAAAAATGTCAACAATTAACTTTTTTAGCAATTTTATATCAATATTTTACTAAAAACATGATTATTAAACTGAATTCCTATCGCTGCATAAAGTAGCCCCATTTGGGGGCTACTTTGTGCAAGGTCTGTTTTGACATATTATTCGTAAATATTACATGCAAATAATGCCAATATTGATCAAATTCACTCATCTGAGTCCAGTTATGAATATAATATCGATAAATTTTACTAAAGTTTGAATTAACACAGTTTTTTTACATGTCAAAGTTCAAAAACTGTGAAATCCTGCACAAAGTAGCCCCGAATGACGGTACCAAAAATGCGTTTTTTATGCAGTTGCATAATTTTTTAATTTTATTGTTTTTGTAAATTAATGACGCACATAATAGGACATAAAGTAAAATCCCGTTGTATCCCGTTAATCCAGCCGTATTACAAGAAGTCCGCTGTCGCAAAAAATTTCTAAGCCACTGTCAAAATACAAAAAGAAGATACAAAAGATATAACTATTGTATGTTTATTACGAGTTGAAAATTACTAGTCTTCCTCAATTACTAAAAATTTTTTTAAGAGGAATATATTTTTCTGCTGTTTAAATTAGCAATATTACACGAAAACGTTTAAATGGATGGCATTTTTTAAATTTATTTCCTCTAGTTTTGTTGTTTCTAATGTCAACTTGAACAAACAAAGCTCACACGCCATTATCCTTTTGCAAATCAAGTTAAGAAATGCCTTTTGTTTGACAAGAAAGCACCGCAGGGGTGAAAGTACTTCTTAACTCAAAACCCCACGAACAGATGGCAGTACTTACCACTCATTCCTGAGGCCATTTCTTCATTTTAGACGTAGATCTGAAGGGGAAGAAAAGTTTCTCTTGATCCTTGTCGAGCTCAGCGACTGGGCACGGGACTTTCGATTCCGCAGATTTTACAAGCAATAATATCGTATGCACTCGGTGGGTCACAGTGGAGTCGAGGACCGAACCCAGGACCGGAGTCCGATTCTCAAACCACTGAGCTACCACGACCCTTATTTCATGTAGCAATGCAGAAAAGCAAACGTGTGTGCTGCGACCATCGCTGACCAAGTTAGTTCTGTTGTTTTTAGAAAATGTACTTCCTGCCATGTACTTCAAAAGAAAGTTTTTTTTTTTTGTTGAGCACCACGTACCCTCTTTTT